GGGAGGGAGCTGGAACCGGTTCTAAACGGCACTGTAGATTTGTGGAACCTCTTCTATAGAAGAGCTTAGAACTGGCAGGAACTCACCCCTGGTTTGGTGCCAATATAGGAGGTCCCAGACTTGCAACAGTTTGCTTAGTGACTGTCAGAAGTTACAGTGGGACCCAAAAAGTGACGTATGACTATTTTTCACACTTACGAACTTTGGTCATGTGATCAAAACCCAGATGCTTGGCAACTGGACCCATATTTATGATGATTGCAGTGTCCCAGGGTCATGTGACACCTCCCCCCCCCCAATGAGCAAAGTCAATGGGGAAGCCACTTGATAACTGTGTTCACTTAACTTGTCGAGTGCAAAACTCATTTAACAAGGGTCTCAGCTACAGAGCTAAGGCCACAATTGGGCTCCATTGCGGTCGTAGGTTCGAGTACTCCTCTTTCTACACAAATGATAAATGGGTCATTCATTAGATTTGACAGGGCTTGTGGTTTTAGAAAGCGTCACCAGAAACCACTGTTCTATTTCAAAAGCTCAATAGTCCCTGAGCTTCCGCCGGACGCGGGTTTACTCGTATTTTTTTCCATTGTGCCCTCAGGCTCTGACAGATACCTGAGTTCTCGAGACACTTCACGGTTGGGGACCCGGCATCCCTCTGCCTGGACGGTAGAAGACGTCATGCAGTTTATAAGAGACGCTGACCCCCAGCTGGGACCCCACGCAGATCTCTTCCGAAAACACGTAAATATGATTTCAGGGTCATCTGACTTGGCCTGGGTAGTACTTTCCTCCTGGTGGAAGTGCTCCCTCCCCCCCCCCCCCCCCACACAACATATGGTTCCTCCTGATGAGGCAGAATTTAACACATTATTAATAATTCCGTTGGGCTTTTCTTCCCTCCAAGAAGGTCAATATCTCAATGACAGACTCAGGAGGCAACGCTTTGGTGCCTTTCAACAGTAAACAGGATTATTTGGGCAATGTTGTTGTTGTCGTTGTTAGCTGTGAAGTCGTGTCCGACTCATCGCGACCCCATGGACAACATTCCTCCAGCCTTCCTNGCAATGCATTGTGGTTACTGAGTACTTGACATGTGGTCACATAACTATTGGGGTGGGTTGTTTCTGTTTGCGAGTATGAATCAGGTCGTAAATACCTTTGGAGGACTCCATCATAACTTTGAATGGTTGCTAAGCAACCAGTCGTAAGTCGAGGACTTGTCTATGCATTTTCTTTACCTGATACAGCACAGAACATTATTGATAGGGTCTTTCCTTCTAATGATATTATTAAAGTGCCTCAGATTCTAGGTTCTAAGTATGTTACCTGAGACAAAAACCAATGACAGACTTAACTATTGTTCATGGGTTGTTGCTGGTGGCGACAGGGATTTTCAATATGGTAGATAGCCCACTTGAAAACTAAAAAGCAATGCATTATAATAAAAGTTTGAATAGACCAGTTGGGGGAGAAGAATGCCGATGACTCCAAATATCTGTGGAAATGGAAATTTGCCTCATTCATCGCGATTATTTCATTTGTGTCACTTGCATCATTAGCATAAATACCCAGACTACTTCGGATGCTATAAATTTGTCAGTTATTTCAGGAGTATCTCTGGATGAAAATTTGTTGCATCCAAAGTCCATTAAGTTGGGGTTCCATTGTTGAAGTTTCCATTTATTTATCTTATTTTTGAACAGCATTCAGTAAAGTAATGCTTGCCCTCACATTCCTTTTGACATGTCAAAGATGTGGTGTGTGGGTTTTTGAAATAACCTGTGGTGTGAGTTTCCCAGTTGCAACTTGGCATAATGCTTGAGGATTATATTACTAGAATGACTTGGAGATACCGCATTTGACCAGTTGAGGTGGCCAATTATCATATACCTAGGTGCTATATGTGGGTTGTATAATATTATTGATGTGTTCCTTTTTATCATAGTTATTGATCCATATTACGGCGACTGAGGTGAACATGACTCTGCGTCATTTCTGACTAGAGCAGCCAATAATTCCAGTAAAAATAAAATAAGACTAGAACAAGTATGACTGTTTTCATTACATAATAGGAAAAAGGTGGGAATTGGGTTTCTTGTACATCTAAAATTCAGGGAAGATACTAAATTAATTTAGAGAACCAGTGGTAAATTTTAAATCTAATTAGTCAATTTCCCAGAGGATGGGGTGGTGTCCCATATGTTTTAATACCAACCAGTGCCAGTCTTAAGAAACTTGGGTTAGAAAAGTAGACATTGCATGAAGAAGGAAATGTTGAATATTTTGTAACATTTTTGTATGTTTTAATATTGAGCTTTACACAAATTTTCACAAATAGCTGTCTTGGCATTTAGCTTCATATTCTGAAGCTTCCCCAGTCAGCCAAACAAAGGGCTCTGAAACAGGTGAAACTCACCTGTGATGAGCAAAAATACATTTTAAGAATCACTTTGAAAAGCACCACTGCAAACAGTCAAGGAATAAATGACATGCAGGAAGCTTGAAACCAGCAATTGCACAAAACAACAGAGGGGATCAAATGAACTATAAAGAGGCATTTTGTCATTCCCTAACTCTATTAAGAGCATGCAACAGATTCCCCATCGGGGGGTATAGGAATTAAGATATACGGGAAATGGTACCACCAATTTGTTTCAGTTAGGACAACAAAAAAGACTTTTTAAACAAAAATTAAAAGCTCTCCAAATGAAGTAATTATTGGCCCTCAAAATGCCACTGTCCCTTTCATAAAACTCCCCCAATTATTGCATAGAACCAATAATGAGATGGTTGGTTACACCCAGAGGTTTCAATATCATCTTTTAGTTGGGCAATACAGCTGTTTCTGCTGGTGAAATATAGATGCTAGTGTAGGCCATTTGGGAGAAGGAAAAGAATTGCTATGACAGCCAATGACCAGTCCGTATAGTATGGCAATTCTGCTGATACGAGGCAGAATATCCGTTTCCCAAAGAAGGTGTGGTGATCTTAAGCAGGGCTTGTTCTCTCTTCCTAGACAGGAGCGTTTCGTTAGACGGCTCTCTGCAGGGACCAGGCCGGGGTACAAAGAGGTATTCCCAAGAGTTCCTTCCATACAGTGCTCCTCTGTCCCCCAAGTTACCAAAGAATGACCATCACCCTTTGGAAGGTGAGCACAGCCTCTTTTCCCAGCCTTTAACAAGCAGCGTAGGTTGAAACTCATGTCCGCGTTCTACTTCCAGCTCAGCTGTGCACTGCAGACATTGCCTTCTGCTCTACTTTATCAAGCAGGATTGCAGACAGTGGGCCACAGCAAGGAAGCACATTTCCTTCCTTCCTTCTAGCTTCTTTGCTGGGCTCCTTAATCTACATGCTCCCCATCATCTGTGCATAACCGTGAAAGCAAAAGCCATCTATACATTTAAATTACTGGAACTGAGGTTGTTTCTACGCTTTATAGTAATAGCAATAGCACTTAGACTTACATACCGCTTCACGGTGCTTTAGAGCCCATGCCACAGCAGAGTTAAGCAAAAAAAAATTAACCAATTTTGTAATCAAGTACAATGACAATAAAGATTATACTTATACTTAAGCGATTTACAGAGTCAGCCTCTTGCCCCCAGCAATCTGGGTCCTCATTTTACCCACCTCAGAAAGATGGAAGGCTGAATCAACCTTGAGACAATCAACATCAAACTGCTGGCGGTTGGCAGAGTTAGCTTGCAATACTATGTGGTAACCACTGCGCTACCATGGCTTTTCTAGCAGTCACAATATCCTGAAATAAAATATCAGCCCCTCTTGTCCCACATACAATACATTATTCGGTGGTGTTCAG